AGCTCTATACTACAGTATTGCAAATAATATAATAGAAGATTCTTGACATTTTTAAATGTATTGAATTCAAAGTAAAAGTGCTCAAATATTAATTTATTTAAAACAGAATTTTGAATTAAATATACTAGTATACAGTATGCCACTTGAAAACCGAATTAAATTATATTTTGTATGAATAGTATTATCTAAACTTAACTTCAATTATTAAAATTTGTCTTATATACTTATCTACTACTTATCTTTTATCATAAATATATTACTTCAAAAAATGATGAATCTTTGAAAGCCTATACAAATATTCTGTACAATTGATTTCTTAATTTTACAGAATTTTCTTTATTTAGAAATATATTTATTAAATTATTAGGATTTCCTAATAATTTACTAAAGTATTTAAATAAATAAAACAATAATAGACTACTGAACAAGTATACCGTATATTCAAACAAATTGAATACAATTTTTCAAAATAAATACATCAAACTTTCTAAAGAATTTGAATTTAAATACTCTATTTACAAATAAACGATTTAGAGATTAATAAGTAATCAATGTTTGAATTAAAATTGTTTGGTTTTGTTATTGCATAAAATGAATTGTGTTTTTTATTCAATTGTTAATTTAATCGGTATTTGTTGAAAAGATTTAGTAGTCTTTAAGAGTGATGTCTCTATAATAAGTAAAGCAGATAAAATTGTTTGGTTTTGTTATTGCATAAAATGAATTGTGTTTTTTATTCAATTGTTAATTTAATCGGTATTTGTTGAAAAGATTTAGTAGTCTTTAAGAGTGATGTCTCTATAATAAGTAAAGCAGAGATTTGTTTGACTGTGAAAACAGTGGGTCTTTGTCCGCAAAAGACTATTAATGTTAAGTTGTTGTGTAAGAGAGAGAGAGAGAGAGAGAGAGAGAGACTGTTCTCGTAAGTTATGAGTGTCTGAGCGAACCGTTAGCCAATTGTTTGGCCAATTAATCTCTTATGCAAGTAAGTGATGGCGAGGACTGAGCCGTAAATATACACTAACCTCCCACTCAATCAAATTGTATACATTATATTCATTTACTTTACTTTATTTCCGTCGTTAGACTTTGATATAAAACAGATAACATATGAGAGATTCACTCAAACTCTGCATCACTTCTGCGGGCTGTATGTGAACCACGTTTTCAATCCATGACTCCATTCAATGCAAATAAATTTAACGCTTTGACAACAAAAACAATCTCATAGTAACCATCCATTCATTCCTCTTTTCAAACAATTACTATTCATTTCTATAATACATGTGATAACACACATTGCCTACCAGTCCCATCAATTTAATCTCTCTCTCTCTCTCTCTCTCTCTTCGAAATATCTGCAAAGCATATCATCTAATTGACACTCAAGTCATTGGATTTTTTTGAAGAAAGAAAGAAAGAAAGAAAGAGAGAGAGAGAGAGAGAGAGAGAGAATTTTTATAATTAAAAATAAATAAATATTTGTTTGACTTTTCTGAGTTGAAATTGAAGGACAAATGTGTGAAAAGCATTTTTTTTGTAGACATAAACTAATCTGGATTTGAGGTTTTGTTACATTTTAGCGAATGTCAAAAAAGTCATGGAAATGATGTACGACTTGTGATCATCACTGTATCCATTCATATATTATAAAGACTTGAACCTAAGCCTCAAATCTTTTTTTGAAAGTTTACGAAATTCTGATGTCATGTCTGTCTGGAGTTGATTTCACTTTTGAAAGCAAACTACAACCAAATTATTAATTAATTTTGCAGACATTACACACCAAATAAGCCTTATTTTCAAATCCATATCTTATGTCCATATTTCACGACACGATTTTACATTCAATTCTCAAATTTCGTATTCAATTGATTGTGACTTCGAGTGCAGTATATATTGTATGATACATATAGAGTACAAACAAACGGATATCTGAGAAGTCGTGCAACAAATGAATGAATACTATAACAAGAACTTCAAGAACTGAACACTAAATTAGGGAAAAGTTTGCAGTCATAGGAATAACTGTGGTTTTGGTGTGATTTTAAGTTTGTAGGCAATGTATTAGCGCTGAGAGCACTGGTATTTAACGACACACTTGTCACCTCATAGAGGGGATGGGAGGGTCATAGGGGTCAGTGACAAATGAGTTGCCATTAAGCGAACCATTAGATTCCGAAACACATGGCTTGGCTAAAGTTTTTTTTTTGGTGAAGCAATGCATCAAAAAGACTGAAATATTTGTGTTTTGGCTAAATTCTTATGGCACGCAATTGAGTACACAATTTATTTAAATAAATTGAAGCTAGGAATGCAATTAAATATATTGGTTTGGCATACCGGCCCGCTTTGGTCACAATCATTTCAGTTCCCAATTCGTTGAATTCATCCCAAAGACATTTCATCTCGAGAGTGGCATTAGTTGACCATAAGTTGGGATGAATTTGTCGCTCGAGTTCGTTGTCTTTAATGTCTTGGTTTATCACAGAAACTGTGGTCGATTTGAGAGATGATGACTGGGGAGAGGGTTGGCACGAGTTGTTTCCAGAAGTGAACTGATTGTCGTCTCCTAATCTTAAGGCGGCGTCCGATAGCTTTTGCCACAGAGATAGCGATCGGTTGACGCTATTGTCTGAATCACTCCTTAAGTGGTGTACTATTAGACCACAGAAAACCATAAATTAGTGTTTGATTTAGTTATCAAATGCAAAGATCTTTGTCTAAAGCGAACTCATGTCATGATTGCGATGATCTTTGTATTAGACAAACATGTCTAATGATCTGTAGATTATGTTATGATCTTAACTCTAACGATGGGTCACAACGACCCTACAGTCCAGACAAATAATGTCTTACAGTTCGGACCGACTCTAGACTCATCTCCAATGCCTTCCGTCTCATCCCTAACGATGCTATCCATCTGAGGCATTGCACCCCAAACCCAAACCCAAGTAATACTATACTACACTATATAAGAGTCAATAGTGTGTGAGATATAATATATTAGTTTTGTGTTTCTTTATTCACGTCCAGCTGTAGCCGAATGTGACAACTCCTGATCGCAACAGGAAAAGCAGTTTTATGTGTTGTCCCATCAGTCCTATCAGTCCTATCAGTCCTACGCTCTCTCATGTACTCTACCAGAGCACAGGGCATAGGGATCCGAGTATGCATTACATGCTTTACAGACCTCCCATATAGGTTCATATCGATCCCCAAAATACCACTAATAACCGAAGCAAAACAAATTCGTTACTCTCAACTATTTTGCATTTTTTACATTTCAAACCCTATATTATTATAGAGTCTTATTTACATTCTCAATAATCTTATATCACAGTCACAAAACATTTTTTAAAAACTTTTATCCCAAAGTTGACCGAAAAATGTTTGTATCAGTTTGCTTGGATATATTGTACAGAATAGCTTGTTTAAAATTTTAAACTTCTAATAACATTGGGTAATAAGATTCTAAACAAGTTAATAATAAATTTTAAATTATTTATTATATTAAATTATTAAAATTATTTGAATAGAAAAAGTTGTTTACCTGAAACATAGTCTCGATCAGGATTTAACAGAGATTCATTAGATGAAACCGGAGGAATGGTAGTATTAGAGCTAGTAATAGGGTATGAATTTGTGAACCACACCCCCGATTTCTTCCATAACTTTAAATAAATATTAAATAATTTATATAAAACAAGTGATAAACTGTATTCATATAAAAGCTTACATCTCTGGCTTCCATACATATTTTGCACATCCATTGCGAATCATTCTCTAGACTTAATTTGTTTCCACATTTCACACAAACTGTCTGTTATTACAAATATAAGAAATCATTGATTATTTTAAAATATTTTTGAGTATTACAAATATTATTACTACAAATTAAATGTATATCACTGATTGCAAATATTCAGAATCTATAAACCAAAGTTACAAACTCTTTAACTTGTAATTCTGTATTTCAAGCATTTTCATATAATTGCTTAAATAGTTGTCTGAAGCTAAAGAGTTAGATGTTAGAAATAATTTTATTATTACTGCATTTAATTCTAAATTACAACATTATATTAAGAATTTCAATATAGAATTGATATACACCCAAGTATCTACATGATACTGTATACATCTAATCATAATCATTATTTAGATAATTTTACATTAGTGTAATTACAGTAGAAACACAGTTACATACAGTAGTTACATTAGAATAACTTTAAATAAATATTAAATAATTTATATAAAACAAGTGATAAACTGTATTCATATAAAAGCTTACATCTCTGGCTTCCATACATATTTTGCACATCCATTGCGAATCATTCTCTAGACTTAATTTATTTCCACATTTCACACAAACTGTCTGTTATTACAAATATAAGAAATCATTGATTATTTTTAAATATTTTTGAGTATTACAATTATTATTACTACAAATTAAATGTATATCACTGATTGTACATTTTCAGAATCTATAAACCAAAGTTACAAACTCTTTAACTTTTAATTCTGTATTTTCAAGCATTTTCATATAATTGCTTAAATAGTTGTCTGAAGCTAAAGAGTTAGATGTTAGAAATAATTTTATTATTACTGTATTTAATTCTAAATTACAACATTATATCAAGAATTTCAACATAGAATTGATATACACCCAAGTATCTACATGATACTGTATACATCTAATCATAATCATTATTTAGATAATTTTACATTAGTGTAATTACAGTAGAAACACAGTTACATACAGTAGTTACATTAGAAGAATAGTGTAGCTTAACTATTTTGTAAAATGAAAATTTGTAAAATCATAATGTTTACTGGAATTCATGTTCTATGGAAATCATAAAAATAAATCTGAATTAACTTCAAAGTATAGGTTTTTAGGAAAAATTATGCACAAAATTATGCTGGTATAATAGTTAATGGATTACATTATTTTAAAATACTGATTTTTATTTGTGTGTGTGTGTGTGTGTGTGTGTGTGTGTGAGTGTGAGTGAGTGAGTGAGTGAGTGAGAGAGAGAGAGAGAGAGAGAGAGCTGTATTAAGCAAATTCTGCATATTCTCTATGATTCTCTGATGATTCGTGAATTTTAGGTGATTCTAATGTTTAGGTGTTTTGTGAGGCCGTAATAGTAAGTGAAACTAAAGGGATTGGTAGTGGTAATAATAATGCTTTCACTCATCAAGATTAGTTAATTATAACTATAAAAGTAGATTAAAAAATATATAAATGTGAAAAATAATATAATAATTGAATGAATAAATGAAAGCCAATTACTTGAAGACAATCTTTGCAGCGATGCGTCTGAACAGTGAAGAGAGAGATTGTTTGGTCGTTGAGTGACAGACAGGAACAGCAGTCCTTTGTTTTCGATACACTTCTTAGTCTATCCATTGCCACAACACACCAATCATCGGGTCTACGGATACTTCACTTTTGGTACTTTCAATCGGAATCTCAATGAATTCCCATTTATTTTAAGGCACTTATTGAACGGATTGAATATAGTTGTATCACATGTTATTCACATAAAATTAATTAAATATCTCTCGCATTACTCACGCGAGAAACACACGAATCGTGAAAGTGTTTCGTATCGTTAAACACATTCAAAGCGACCGCTATTTTCAATGGCAATGCAATGGTTAGCGACGACGAGATAAGAGAGTAAATAGAAGTTAGCGTTTGAGTCGTGAGAGAGTGTGTGTAACGCAAGTGCTATAAACCAACCAATACTACAGTGCAGGCACTGAAACACTCCATCCATTCACTCCATTCATCCGCTTATTTATGATCGCAAACACACTTTCGTCAGAATATTTTCGTTTGCTTTTTACTATTTATTCTCACTTTTCACTCATTAGACTAGTCCTCGATTTTTGCGTACTATCACCGCAATAAATTTCACCAGAATATTCTGTCAATTATGTTTTATAACAAATATTTACGGTTTTAATTATGAACTTTGCTGTGAAAACACATTTCGGGCGTAGAGTGTGCATGCTAATCCTTATTGGAAGCAGTATGTTAAATTTTTGAATTGGTGTTTTATTTAATAGTAACTATTTGTTGATAAATATACAAAATTTAAAGTGAATTAAGTATATATTAATCAATGGATTCAAAGGACCCGTGGAGTTGTCCCAACGATCGCGAGTTAACATTAAGAGCCAGGTATGAGATAATTGCTATGGAATCGCCTTATTTAGCATTCATTTCCTATTCATTCCTTTCGTATAGTTTGAAGTGTTTGTATGAATTATAATGATTTTTATACATTGAATGTACAGATTAGACACGGGATGGTCTGTCAAAAGCAACCAAATCCAGAATAATACTCCAAAAGCCGATCCAATCAATGATTGCGAACAAAAAATGATACTTAAAGTGATTAATAAAGCAAAACAAATGGAGAAAATGGAAAGGGATAGGATTAAGTAAATAATCTGTCGTTTTAATATGATATTAGTTTTACATATTAATACATTTTATTAAGTCTTATCATATTTTAAGCATAAGTGACACATTTAAAAGCATAATTCTGTACAATTCTATATTACCTATAATTCTAGACCTAGTATGACATCTGCTATGTTTTATTAAGCCATAAATTGAAATTATGTGATTTAACATAATATATTTAAATGTGCTGATTATATTCTTACTAGCATATCTTGCTTATTCTATTTTATATATAGAAATTTACATAAATTTAATACACATATGATATAATAAACGGCTATAATATACATAATTCTTATAATTTAATAAGACATGAAAAATTAAATTGCTTTTACAGTTTAGGGAAATTGATTATTTTAAAATTTATGTTTTATATGAAAAACTCTTAAGTGGCTAACAATTTTTATTTAAGTTTCAATCGTATGAATATCTTTTGGGGTTTTATACAGAATTTTCAGCACAATTTCTACCACTAAAATAACAAAATAACAAAATATCATTTTTAATACAAGTAATATATATGCAACAAAAGTAAATGAAAGTAATGTAATAAAAGTATAATTTCATTTCGTATTGAACTAAATTAACTCTGAATCTCAGGGGTATTACTCGATGTAATTCTGGCGGAATTCGCGCTCCACTGACCTCTCACTAGTAACTCAAAAATAGTTTCATTGAGTCATTAGTTACGAAATTTTGACTTTTTTGCTTTCATTTTTTGATCCATTTCTCGATTCTAATAACGATAGCAATTATTTATTAAAGAAAATTATGAAATCAGTAATTAATAAAAACCAAAGTGTGGGATGAATCGAGAGGTTTACATATGAAAGCCTGTGTAAGGCTTTGCCAGTTTCAACATTCAATTTAAACAATTGCTTGTTTTAGATAATTTTATCAATGAAATGTGTACAAAGTGTTTTAAAATTATTAAAAAAATAACTCGTGACAAATTTATAAACAATTGAAATGATTTATAAACGTAAGCTTTTAAAAACATAATATTTATTATACTGGAGTGTCCAAGTACAATAAGTATTACATATACAGTACAGTAGCTTATATTAATGTGATATACTCGTTGTGTGCATTTAATAAATGATTTAAATTTTGATAAAAGTGTTATAAATGGATAATACAAATGATGTGTCCGTTTCAGCCGAATGTTGGAGCGATTAAATAACATGAAACGAAACGCCAGGGGAGACGGCAAATACAACTGTGTTTTATGCAACGATACATTTGGTCTGTTTGGTGCTCAGGGTCGACAGTGCAAGGACTGCCTCAAAGTTTGTCTCATTTATTATCATTTGTGTAGGGACACCAAAATTACACTTTTGAAATTTAATTAATTCATAATTTTTGTTTGTTTTCGTATTAGTGTTAGTGCAAATTTAATTTAATAAATTAATTAATTACTTTAGAATTTAAGCAATCTGTTAAAACTATTAAAATGAATGACTATAGGAAAGTGAAACAATTTTAAAATCTCACAGAATTTCAATATTCTGTAATTATTAAAGCAAAATATTTATAATTTATTAGAAAATATGTTTTCAAAACACAGAGATAAACATGAGTTATGATTGTGTAGAGAATGGATGCGAGAATATGTGGTAAATAGCACTCAAACCTGTCTTTCATTCATCAAATATAGACGACATTAATCTTAAAGTCTAGGCTTTGCCGTGACGTCGGCATCAGATTTACAGTTAATGCTTAAAACTCAAGAATTTATAGGAATTATGTGTGCATTACTTTATAGCATATTTATATTCATTACAGTACAGTACAAAGCAATTGAATTAAATTAAGATTAGCTTAAATTCAAACAGAATCGTAAAATAAGTATATAAATAATGAAACTAAAAATAAGTGCAAACATAGGCTTATTGTGTCTTTCATTGAGTAATTGTCGTCTCGGTTGCAGTCGGTGTGCAATAAGTGCGGAGTCGACACATTGACGGCAGACAACGACCCGCTCTGGCTCTGCAAACTGTGCTCAGAAACACGTGAAGTAAATGATTTGATTGAATATAATTTGTGCGAAAATCTTAATTAACTAATTGAATGCAATTGGGATCAGTTGTGGAAGAAGTCGGGCGCCTGGTTCTCAAACGTGATGCCAATACTGCCAAACGCGAGTCCCTGCGCTCCCAGTATACCATCGATCAATTCACCCGCAAATGAGTCGCCAAACAGTGCGGAAAATGAATTTATATCCAATTCTTCGAGCTTTCATTCCTCGTCACCGGTTCTCAGACATAAGACAAGATCTCCCAGTCCTATGAGCAACCGGAACCGGTCGCCAAACATAGCAGGTACACTTTGTTCAGTTCAATTATTTATGGCATTTTTTATGTTCATTTTTATGTGTCTGTATTTGTTTGAATTGTTGTTTAATTAAATAATTATTTCTTTCATTACCATTTTCACATTAAATATTGATTTGTTAATTGAGAACTAATTATACTTAATTATACGGTAATGGTCTGATAGATGAAGCACTTGTAGTCAAAATATAGATGAAAAATAAGTTATTGATTAAATATAACCGTATCATAAAAGTAAGGCTTCAACGCTAGACAATCACTCATTGTCTATAACTCATAACTGGTGTTAGGATTTCATGAGAATATAATAGAAAACAGTTAACAGTAAAGCATAATATGTGTAATGGCTTGTGAATCTAACGCTGTTGACACACTTTACATAATATATAACTTTTTATGGCTAGAAATTCTGGACATTATTCTGTACTGAATAAGATAGAGTGTTACATATTATTATGGTTGGTAAGCCCTACCATTTTACTGAAAACCATTTATTTCTTGTTTTGTCGTTGAAATACTAAATATTTCATACAAACCCATGTTTCGTGAGAATCATTTCGCTTAATAATAACTGCAATGTTTATTCCGTAAATAAAATATCTGCTAATATTTTAATGAGGTTTTCATGCTGTATTTAATTATACAGAGATTAGAGTTGAGTTTCACAATTCTTATGTAAGTTTATTGTTATATTAAACAAGATTTTATTTATCGTTATTGCTTGTGATTACCATTTGTGTTATCCATAAGAGAATAATTAGGAGAGAATATCCAGAAAAATGATTTTTTATTTAATGATTTTCTTAATTTCATGAATGGAAACAAAATTGGTGATATTGACAGGTCCAATGAGCTTATGAAACTCAATGCAAGCAATATAATCGTAATAGGAAAAGATTTTGGGTTTCCTGGTGTTTAGCTTAACATTAAAAACACATTTCCGATAAAAATTGGGACTATTTTCATAACTTTGAAGACTTATCGTCATATAAATTATGTATAAATAAATGTCATCATACCATTTGACTTGACAATAGTATGGCTTCTGAATATAAATTAAATATTATTAATAAAACATACACTTATTATGCTTTTAAAGAATAACACATTGAATAAAATACTACATAAAATATTGCTATAATTATTATATTATTAATATTTGCTAGAAGTGACTATTTAAAGCATATGTCATATATTCCTATAGATTATAGCGTATTGTTTGACGAAAAGCAAAATGAATTTTATGAGCACTTGAGTCAAGAAGAATATGCAAACCTGAAAGCAAAACAAGAGTCCGATCTATACTATGATTATAGAGATTATAGAGAAGACTCGCATTGATTTGAACACCACTTCAATTCCATATGACTTCCAATTCTCAACTGATGTCTCAATACTTATTCATATTAAATATACTGTATATTATACATACATTTATATTACAAGCACCGGAACAATGTTTTAGTCACATAAAAAACTATTTTCAATTATATTGATATACACACAATACAGTACAACAATTAATTTAAATGTTTATTTTAATATGATATTCATATCTGTTGAACAAATTGTCATATTTTGGACAAAATCCCACAAATGTTAACAAATAAAATGAAGTTTAGGCTATACTGGTAACATTAATTCAGATAATGTATTTAAATCACAGCCAATTACAGTATGTAAGACATGTATTGATTGTGTGATATTCGTTGTTAATAGTATGTGCTGTTGATTTGAATACATGCATGTGGACAGTTATGTAATTCATAAAATTCATAAAGTTGTCAAAATAAATTCATAACTTGTTGCCCACTTTTGTTGGTTAAAGAATTTATGAAATACTTGTTAACAGTATACTGATATTTGATTAAAATATTGCAATTTATTGCAGAAATTCATTTAACATTTATAATATTCAATATATTAATAGTAAATAAAGAATAATGTATTTCTATTCATTAATAAAATGCACCATCATTTCAAAAAAATAAATGCATTAATCAGTCATTTTGATATATATTTGAGATTAGAGTAAAACCTAAATTGTTTAAAATAGAGATAAAGAGAGACTCGTATCTAATGGACTAATAGGTATAACATGTCTAATAGGCGTGATTTTTGACGAACAGATCCTGACCGGCAGCCGCACCCGCCAGACCACCACCGTATTTGCCCAGAGATGCCTCGCTGTTAGCCTGAAATATATACATTATGTCATTAGTTTCATGTAATACACATTTCGTAATTTAATTATTCATTAAGACAGAAAACATCTTGAACAACAACTCCGAAAGTATAATATTCCCACAAAAACAACCCATAAATGTGTTAGAATTGACGCGATTGTGAAATTTAGTGAAGATTTGATTATTTTCATAATAGCAGTGCAAGTGTTAGTTAAATATCAAACGAACAATACATCAGTGTTTCTAACATTTTCAATGTTAGGGATTATGTTAGTCACGTATCGGACACTAAATGGTACCTATAATTAGATACGAGTGCAACTAATATCTAGTATTTATGTTGTGCTGCAAAATTGGACGCCTTAGCGGACACACTGGATATGGATCCGCTCACGTACTGGGCTTTCGATGCCAATGCATTCGCCTAAGCATTCAATTTAATTTTAATATGCAATTCATATCATTCAAAATCCTTCAAATGATTCAGCGCTTAAAACCTAAATTCATTGCAATTGAATTGAATTAAAATACGATAAAAAGACACTCACTTTGGCTCTCTTGAGGAGCTCGTCCTGTCCGGCCTTAATGTTCTCCACTTTGGCGCCCCAGGCCTTGATAGCACTCGCTTGAAGGGCACGACCGTAACTGAAGGTGAGAGCCCACGGCTTTTTGCCCGCGAATTGATTAATTGCATTCAAGTTAACCGAAGCCTCTTCTTCCGATTGGCCGCCAGAGAGGAAGACAATGCCTATAATGACAATCAAATGGCATTAGATTTGTAATACATATACCGGTACTGAATAACAACTGTAACTGACCAGGAACAGCGGCGGGTACTGTGCGCTGCAAAGCGGTGACCGTAGCTCTAGCGACGTCTTGAGGGCTATACTTCTTAGCACAAGACTGACCAGCGGTCACCATATTTGGCTTGAGTAGAGTTCCCTCCAAAAACACGTTGTGATCGCTCAGAGCCTTATAAACAGCGGCCAAAACCTTTTCCGACACCTTTTGGCAGCGCTCGAGATCGTGGTCTCCGTCGGGCAACACTTCCGGCTCAACGATTGGCACCAGTTTTGCCTGATATGAGTCGTTATGTATTAGTATATTGTCTACAATTATCGAGAGTGTTATGCAATACCTGTTGACAAGTGGACGCATAGCGGGCCAACACATTAGCATTTTCGAGGATAGCGAGGGGTGAGGGCTCGTGGTCTTTGATCTTCAGAACACACCTCCATTTGGCGAAACGGCAGCCGTCCTTATAGTACTGTTCGCACCGCTTCTGGAGGTCATCCAATCCCTGTGTAGTGCACTCATCATTGGTGCCCAGGAGTGGCACCACTCCTGTGTCCACTTTAATGCCCGGAATGATTCCTCGCTTCTTCAGGATCTCCACGAAAGGAGTGCCCGAATCGTCCTTTTGGTAAAGGGTTTCGTGAAAGAGGATGACTCCACTTATGTATTGGTTGGCCTCCGGGTCCACCGAAAACAACAGTTGTCTGTACTGTCGGCGTAAGTCCTCGTTATTGTCGGTAACACCGATCGATTGCAACCGTTTACCCATTGTTCCTAAGAAGCGGTTCCTATTAGTGGATCACTTCACACAAATCAGTGGTTTACGAGAACATACCGGTGCTCTCATCGGCCGCTAATATTCCCTTCCCGGGGGCGACGATGGCGTTGGCATTAGCTCTGAGTTCGTCCTCAACTTCTTTCGGTAAGTAATTAAAGTGAGCCATAGTTTCGCTGTAATTCACTGTTGGATACAAATTTGGTTTAAAAATTGCGATTCAATGCAAACAATATATTAATGAATATAACGTTTCAAATATCAAACAATTATGGTTTGGATTTATATCTGACGCAAAGCTAAGGAAATATTTGGCACTTTGTTAACGTTATTATAGTTTTCATACAAATCTATACAACAATCCGAGTGAGTCTTACGCAACACGTAATGCATATTACACTCAATTCTTACCACTTATTCCTGGCTTTTAATGCTTCACAAGAGTTCGCGTTTTGAACTAAAGTCACACTATTTTCACACTTTTATTCAAAAAGACTCAAAGAATTGACGAATTGACTGATTATTGAGATCTGATTGCAATGAATATTTGAGATAAACTTATATATTATTAAAAGTTAAGAAAAGTTGGAAATATTCCACAAATAATGGAAGATTTGTTTCGATAAAACTAGTCGTCTATAGACTATAAACTAGTCATCTATACTGTAGTTTAGTTTATAGTTTATTTAAAAGCAAAGTCTAAAAATGACATAAACTTGAAAACTGGTCGCAAATCCAATCCAATAATGTGTAAACATATCTCTTATAAACTTTTATCTGTAGTTCACTCGCATTAGAGGCCAATATTTCAAAATCCAAACCCTATTTAAATATAAACTACTATTTAATTAATAATAATTTAATGATTTAATGAAATAAACTGTTGATAATAACTTTACGTGATTTTCCGATATTAACTATCCTGCACCTACACAAGTAGGGAAAGGGTAAGTCACGAATTACAAATCTTAATAAACTGCGTTTTGTCCCTATAAGACACGAAATTTACCACTTAAAATAGACATTCAATTTAATTATAAGAATTATTTAAGTTAATTTATGTTTATATAACTTACGTTTACTCACCACTATAGTACTCATCGCTACCAATCTCACTTAGGGTTTGGACAAAGCACTGTCATTACAGATCAAAAACCAACAAAAAGTGTAAGTTATATATAATCGCGAATACAATTCAAGGCCATTGAATGTCAGCCAATACTATGTGCTCGCAGTTTATCTCACAATTAATTAATTACTCATTTGAATCAGTTTTCATAAAATATCAATTATAATGATTGTTTAAACATGTATACGATTAGTGATAAATTATCAGCGTACATTTAATCCAAATTCCTGAGACCAGTCATAATTGCAACGAGAATTTAAACACAGAATTTTATATTACAGTTAGCAATGCTAACTTAGCAAGCATATAATTTAAATGTTAAATATATGACCTTTGAATGAGTATATTGGACGCAAATGATAATATTTGTTAAATAATATATGAAATACGCGGACAATACCTGATTAGGCGGTCAGTTGTATATGTGGTATAGTGGTGGGGATTGTCAATAGAGTCGACCTCCTTGTCCTTCACTGAATCAATACTATTATAATAACGTAAACCGTATATAAAGTGCATAGACTTAACAGTAAGCCATACAAACCGATAGCATCGGAGCTGTACTGCCTTCTAGTGCTTCCGCTCACAGCCGCAGTCTATGCCATAGACTCTCGAGTTTTCAATTAAACCAACTTTTACTGCAAATTTGTATTTTGTTTGCAAATCGATAAATGTTTTATAAAATATTTAAATAGATCTTTAATTAAAACCAAAACATTCATTCATTCACTCATTAAATGCAAACTATTTCACAGAATATTCTGTAAGTTTAGATAAATTTCATTTTATTGTTAAATCTATAAAAATATATAATTCAATGATTGATGAAATAAATTAGTTAGTGATGAATAAGACTTAATGATGGCTTAAATGTTGACATATTCTGGAGTCGCAGAGGTCGTAACCACATCCGGGTCCACCGAAAACAACAGTTGTCTGTACTGTCGGCGTAAGTCCTCGTTATTGTCGGTAACACCGATCGATTGCAACCGTTTACCCATTGTTCCTAAGAAGCGGTTCCTATTAGTGGATCACTTGACACAAATCAGTGGTTTACGAGAACATACCGGTGCTCTCATCGGCCGCTAATATTCCCTTCCCGGGGGCGACGATGGCGTTGGCATTAGCTCTGAGTTCGTCCTCAACTTCTTTCGGTAAGTAACTAAAGTGAGCCATAGTTTCGCTGTAATTGACTGTTGGATAGAAATTTGGTTTAAAATTGCGATTCAATGCAAACAATATATCAATGAATATAACGTTTCAAATATCAAACAATTATGGTTTGGATTTATATCTGACGCAAAGCTAAGGAAATATTTGCCACTTTGTTAACGTTATTATAGTTTTCATACAAATCTATACAACAATCCGAGTGAGTCTTACGCAACATGTAATGCATATTACACTCAATTCTTACCACTTATTCCTGGCTTTTAATGCTTCACAAGAGTTCGCGTTTTGAACTAAATTCACACTATTTTCACACTTTTATTCAAAAAGACTCAAAGAATTGACGAATTGACTGATTATTGAGATCTGATTGCAATGAATATTTGAGATAAACTTATATATTATTAAAAGTTGAGAAAAGTTGGAAATATTCCACAAATAATGGAAGATTTGTTTCGATAAAACTAGTCGTCTGTAGACTATAAACTAGTCCTCTATACTGTAGTTTAGTTTATAGTTTATTTAAAAGCAAAGTCTAGAAATGACATCGACTTGAAAACTGGTCGCAAATCCAATTCAATAATGTGTAAACATATCTCTTATAAACTTTTATCTGTAGTTCACTCGCATTAGAGGCCAATATTTGAAAACCCAAACCCTATTTAAATATAAACTACTATTTAATTAATAATAATTTAATGATTTAATGAAATAAACTCAACTATTATTGAAATGCACTAAAAGGCTATAATTGATAGGACGTGGATGTGTTCATCCCTTTCCCATTCAGTGCTTAATGTTTAGAATTATTTGACGCAAAACAGGGATATTCTGTGCTTTAAATGGNAATGGACTTAAAATAGACATTCAATTTAATTATAAGAATTATTTATCAATTAAATACAAATATATTGAATGCAAATGAGTGGTGATATCATGAGTAGCGATGGTTAGAGTGAATCCCAAACCTGTTTCGTGACAGTAATGTCTAGTTTTTGGTTGTTTTTCACATTCAATATAATCGCGAATACAATTCAAGGCCATTGAATGTCAGCCAATACTATGTGCCCACAGTTTATCTCACAATTAATTAATTACTCATTTGAATCAGTTTTCATAAAATATCAATTATAATGATTGTTTAAACATGTATACGATTAATGATAAATGATCAGCATACATTTAATCCAAATTCCTGAGACCAGTCATAATTACAACGGGAATTTAAACACAGAATTTTATATTACAGTTAGCAATGCTAACTTAGCATGCATATAATTTAAATGTTAAATATATGACCTTTGAATGAGTATATTGGACGCAAATTATAATAATATTTGTTAAATAATATATTAAATACGCGGACAATACCTGATTAGGCGGTCAGTTGTATATGTGATATAGTGGTGGGGATTGTCAATCTCGTCGACCTCCTTGTCCTTCACTGAATCAATACTATAATAACGTAAACCGTATATAAAGTGCATAGACTTAACAGTAAGCCATACAAACCGATAGCATCGGAGCTGTACTGCCTTCTAGTGCTTCCACTCACAGCCGCAGTCTATGCCATAGACTCTCGAGTTTTCAATTAAACATAGCGTTGAGACCAACTTTTACTGCAAATTTGTATTTTGTTTGCAAATAGATTAATGTTTTATCAAATATTTAAATAGATCTTTCATTAAAACCAAAACATTCATTCATTCACTCATTAAATGCAAACTATTTCACAGAATATTCTGTCACTTTAGACAAAATAGAATGCATTAAAGTAAGTGTAAAACAAAATTATCAGGGTTTATTTGATAACTTTTTACATTTGATAACATTTATTTCTAATATTAATTTAAATTAAAGTTTAATTTTTTGTGCAATAGAAATTCAATTAGATATCAATTGAATTCAAGGCATTATTCATTCCCTAATGGCTCAGCATTTCATGAGTTTTCTCACATTTAATTCAATAGCCAATGCCTACTGAACCCAACAATAATAGCAATTCTGGACTTTTGCTAATATTTGTCATTATTATTGCAATCGTTTTGATGGTCTTTCTCGATATGAAAAAGAATAGGAATATACCGATAAAGATATACCGGTGCTGTAGTCCTGTACAACATTTTGATGGGAACTCCACTTCTAAACCTCATTCTTAGGCGCAGTCCGTCCACAACGTCTGTCCACTCAACGGCACAACTGATCCACGAATCGAAGATCAAGTCTTAAGAGGAGCTCCAGAAGTGAATGAATTTAAACACAAATTATTAAAAATTCAAATAAAACTATATTTTGTATTTCATAAGTGAACTAAACTTTTAATAAAACTGTTTATAACTCATTCAATGTATTCATGTATTCATTCAGTCATTATTGATTCAATGGATTGAAATTCTTAAAGAATTGAATGGCTTTTCATTAAATGATTTATATTTTCCTATAATTAATGCGATTTCAATGCAAATCATAGGAAACAATGGATTTTAAAAACTCGAAAAAAAATTTTTAATAATGGTTTCGAAAATTCGTGAAAATCTTTGGTGTAATCGTTTGGTTACCACTAATTCTATCAAATTTTTTCCATTTCCAGCTCTTCATCACCACAACTGATCCCAAATGCATTGCATTAATCATTTCCTGTCGCATCAACAGACTATAAGCGTCTACCTCGGGGTCCATCTGTTAGATCGACACAACTATAACCACAACACCAATCATCCGCAACAGAGTCGCCATACAATAGACCGGCGGTTGAGTCCACACCTACACCTCAAAGTCGGCTCATATCCAAAACCGGACTCAGGATATGGGTCGCCAAAGCACACCCCGAGCGACCAGAGGGTGGAAGGTTTGGGTGACAACACGCGGACAAAGGTCCCGTTCACATGATCCCAACCACTGGTCATTGCATACATTCTTCTCATTCATCCATTTATTGAATTCACTCATCAATTCATTGATCATATCTGCGGTCTCTTCTCATTTATTTTCGTTTAATCCGCTTTTGAGTCCGTATTGAGACGATTCGTGTCCACTAAACCTGGACTCAGGACACGAGTCGCAAAAGCAAACCCCGAGAGACCAGGGGGTGGGAGGTGTAGGTGAGGGCACGAGTACTCAGGTCTCGGCTCATATGATCCGAACCACTGGTCCGACGATCAAAGACAACGATCTCTCCATCAATAACAACGACAACAACACCAACGGCGCGGTCTCTGCCACTCCATCCACCCATAGAGGCAATGGTTTCCGCCGTCTTTGGACTCGTTGTGAGACAACTGTCCACTCAATCCGACAGTTCTGCACGAATAGACGCAACAGTGGTCTATATGTCGAGGCGGCCATCAGTCACGACACTTCACGATTACTTCCGCCGCAACCCATACTTAAGAGTCGTTTTATAGTGAACTCAGAGCCGGAGTACACCTTAAGACTGAATTTGAACACAGATTTGGAACTTTTGAAGACAGGATTGAGAGCTCAGGGAATAGTCTTAGAAGAAGACGGCGGAGACATTCAGTCCATAAGAATGAGTGCTTTAAAGGGCATCGGAGTCGAGGAGTTGAAGGAAGCGATCCTACGGCACAGGAGGTGGTCGTAGA